GATTCGATAATGCGGTAGACTCGCGAGGGTGGTTAGAAACTATGATATGAAAGGCCTGAGGGTGCCTCGCACGCCAGTCCATGTTTCGACGTGACTCGTGCCACAACTCGTTGTTGATTCTAAAAAATTCATATTTACTACACAGTACTGTCTATTTGATATACATCCCAAAAATGTGATCGACATAAATATTTATTTTAATCAACAAAACTTTGTTTATTCAACGTAAGAAGATGGATTAATTATTTATTTAATCGACGTTAATGAAAAATAAAGCCGTAAACAGTAATTACTAATTAATTAGGATGAAAAATGAAATTTTAATGACGGAATTAAACACATGATAAAAGTTGTTGTCGGTCGAACACAGTTGGAGATGAGATTAAATAAATTAAAGTCGATTAAGTCTCTTGCGTGGAACGAAACAAAAGTTTCAGGAATCAAGATTCGAGACAAATCGATTGCGTAAGCGGATTTTCAGAAGAACTAGCGCAGTGGATAGAGAATTACGTGAAAAGAAAAAGAGGGAAAAAAAGTGCGAAAAAAGCGACTGAAGAGAAGAAAAAAAAAATGAACAAATAGGTGAACATAAGGATCAAGAACGACCCTGCGTGTCTAACTCGGTCCTCTTCTCTTACTTTATTTTTTATTTCCCGGAAATCATTTCGTTAATTTATTCTACCATCGTCGTTGTCTATATATTCTTCTCTATTTTTTCGAAAACACACCGCGTATATTCGGTATGTGATGACGGGAAAAAATGACAAAAATGTGGCTTTTATTTAAGCAATAAGACTTGTTGTTTCATTGTGATTTGGGTTAATATTAAAAAGTCCTTGGTTTTTAACGATTGATTGGCAGGATTGCCAATTTGGCCAATTATCGTTAGCTATAGGGTTCACGGAATACTGAATCAAATTATAGGTACCACCTAGAAGACTTGAAGAGGACGTAACGAATCGGTTGTTTTTGGTTCTAGCCGACGGCGAGTCGACGATCGAATTCTGATTTACGAATTTTCGGCGAAACTCGAGGTCGAAACTCTCGCGCGTACCTTTTTTAGTTCTTTTATCCTCCGGCAATTTCAGTACAAAGGAACTATTTTCAGAAGATCTATCTCGAAGATTATTAGCTAGATAAGAACTAGGCTTCTTTCGAAAACCAATGTATTTACATTTTCCTTATCTCTTACATATCGTCCATTGACGTCTTTCACGTTGGCACATGTATTCGATTTTCGATTTATTTCCAACAAAATCAGAGAAAAATTTTGTCTTTTTTTCCTAAACATTTTGGAGCAAAAGTAATTCTTCTTTGATTGTTGTCGTAATGTGTCAGACACTCAACACTTATTTTCATCATCAGGTGATATTGGATTATCAATAAAAATCGACAATAAATTTCTAGAGGGTTATATTTGTATCGAAAACATTTATAAATTTATTTTTACACATTTTTCTATTTTTCCTTATTTCTTAAAATTGTTTTGTTTCATAGTCTACACCTTCATGTCGTCAGTCACGCAGAGAGATCGATGCGTCATCAGGCGCAAGGTAACACAAGGTCTGAGCATTTTTATTCCCTTGTTGAAACATCAAATAATATATTTTTTCTCAACTTATTTTCCTCTAAAAACCTCATTCAATTTTCTCAGCTTGATCGTAAAACAAGAAATCTCATTTCATTCTTTCATTTTATTTATTTACTTATTTTAGTATTATGATTTTTTTTAATAATTCAAGACGTGGAATTTTGACAAGTGAATTAAATAAAAGAAAGATGAGTATACGAAGAAGAAACCACTGTGACGCCTACTGGTAATGGCAGACGACTCACGAAAACTAACTCTCGTGGTTGGTAATCTAGACAGATGGGACTCGTTAATGGTACACGCTCGAGTAATTTGCGAGAAATTCAATAATCAACGACGGGGTAGTGCATCCCTCAACGTGACTTTCTTCCTGTGGCGAATAACATCGTCGTGGAATGCTTAAAGTCGCGCACGAAAGCTAGAGAAATTAAAAACTTGTCGGTGAAGGATAAATGATCGTAAGACATGCGGATTATTCGACGTTTATGATCTCGAGAGTTCATGAATCCGTCGAGGGTACATTATCGTTATCGTCGTCTTGTTGAGACCTATGAACCCGCAGGCATGAACTGCAGCTCGGTCACGCATAGAAAAAAAAATCAACAAATCGTCTGAGAACTCGTTAAGCAGATTGCGGTCTTCTCATACCTTTTTTACCGCCCCGTTAATGTAAACATATTCCGCGAAGAAATTCTTCCACCTCCGCAACTCTTTATTTTCTCTCTCACTTACTCTTGTTTAATTTCTGTATTCGACAAGGTTCGTTCACTATAAACCTCACAATGCAGTCATTTCTCCCGCGAATAACGTCTAATCAAAGTCGAAAAAATTATTCTTTTATTCATTCGAGATAGGAATGTACAATTTTTCTTCACTTTCAATTCAATTTTGTTTTTTATGTACACCTAAACAAGATTTCCGAACATAAATAAGAGAATTTTATTCTGAAATATTTACTTTGAATTGTTTTATATTAAAAATAAAATTATCTCAAGTTAGAGAACTGTTTATTTTTATAGAGGAATACATTTTTTGTTCTTATTTTGTAGGAAAGAAGAGTATTGAGTAAGATTAATCGATTTTGAAGTGAAATAGTAAAAATAATTAAAAACCACAGCAACATTAATAAATATTTATTGATTCTGAAGTTATAATAATAGAATTATTTCCAACAATTATATATTTTTTTTTTATTGAAAATAATTATATTATGCTCACTATTTTTAATTACTTTCTCTGTTTTGTTTTCGGAAAAATGAGTCATAATGTCATTAGAAAAAATATTGTTCAATGTACACGGCCATTTTTAGATTTATTCACAAACATGTTAAGATTTTTTTGTTGTAATTAGAAAAGATCTAAATGGGTAAATAAATATAAAAGATGAAATGCAAAATAAATTTCTGTTGACAGATGTTATTTGCTCTTTCAAAGCAAAATGTAAACATGTCTGCATAATGCAAATCCGCATAGAGTCATTTATTTTACTCTATTTTATATAAAAGAAAAAGTTTTTGAATTATGTCTGTTTTAATATTACATCCGAGTATTTAAAATATGTTTTTATTAACAAAAAATAATTAACTTAAACATAAATTATCATATGAGCATATTTAATATTTATGAAGATAAAAAAAAATTAGTAAAAACTCTTTAGGGGAGGGGAGAATAAAGTGGAACGCGGGTGCAAAATGAAACGCTCGAGAAAATCTACTAATTTATTAAAATAAGTTCAACAACTATTATTATCATTATTATAAATAATATTATTAATGTTTCAATTTATTAATGATTGACAATTATTAACATTTGTTAATCTATTACATTAATTAATTTGTAGATTTACATTTTTTCTTGGTGTTCCACTTTACCCTACCTTCTCCTATTTAAAATAAATACATTAATAAACGATTTTTCTGTTTCACATTACAATTAGCGGAATGAAAATTAATGTAAATAACTTGTATACATAAAATCAAATTTATAAGGAAGAGAATCGAGTTGAGTTAAACATAAAAGTGCTATAAAATTTTTTTCATAAATAAATGATAAACTATAGAGCTAATTATAAAAATGGATAATTTTTATTTTCGAATATCCGTGAAAATATATTCTAGTCACGTACAGTGTTTTATTACTCTTTAATTGAATGTCTTAGGTAGAGTGTAATGATTCAATAAATTAATATTCAACATTGCACACTAATTACCACCACGACAAGACGTTAAAGCACCTTCTTGGCGTCGCGGCTCGCCGCGGTGGGTCCTCGTAATCCGCGTCATATAATACGCAGACGTAAGAGTGTGAGAGTGGCGTGTGAGGACGGGAATAGTGTAGGAGAATCAGCCCTCGCGGCAAGTAGCTGACAGGCATATGAGCGAAAACTAATCTATGCCACACCTTGACGCCGACTCCAACAAGGGAATAAAAATTCAAAGCAGACCATTAAACAACATTTTAACTTACTCTCAAAATTTGAATCGAGATTTCATGACCCTTTCTCCACATCATTACTGGTCATTTTATATGGTCACTTCTATCGTTAATTAATTCAAAACAAAATGAATTTTTATTTTTCTAAATAAAAATTTATTGTTTAATTTATTGATATAATTTAAAATTTGATAATTGCTTGCAAATTATAATTCATCTGGAAGTCTTTAAAAATCTTGGGTTATTTTTTGTCATCTAAGTTGTAACAATATAATTATAAAAAACTTTTATAAAAGTTTAAAATTCGATTTATACAGAAATAATAAAAGATGATATTTAATTTCTAAAAAAGGAATAAGTGAATATTCATTTTTTGGAATGAGAATGAAAGCACTAATTCAAACAGTGATGATTTTATGGCTGCCAATAAGTTAACATGGACTATTTCGTAGTAATTCATTTTTAGAAAGGATGTGTTTAGAAGATGAAAATTAATATGTAGATTGAATTGAAAAATTTTGTCCACTTGAAATGAAAATACTCATTGTGGAAAAAGCAGACAACCCTGCAAATCCAAGATTTAAAAATGTTATAAGTATTTACGAGAATAACACGCTTAGATTCGCAGTCGTATCAGAGTTGTGACAAACATTTTTTAACTCATGCTTAAAACAATTCTAGATTAATTGAATTCTATTTTTTTAACAATACTTTTCAATCAAGTTGTAATAGCTATTATTCTTTTAGAAGCTATTTTTATTCTAAGTTAAGCAATTTTTTATTACAATAAAGACTTATCTCAGTTTGACCATAATATTAAGGTAATTTTCAAATCATGGAAAATTTTTATATTTCCCGACAATGTGTAATGAGAATTTATTTTTCATTCGATAGTTTTCTTTATTTAGTTGCTCTTATTAGCAATAAAAATCGAAACACTAAAAATTGATTAATAGGATGGTGGAGTTGGAGTAAGAACTTGAAGAAGTACAATCGAAAAGAGGAAACGACTCCACCACTGTGGCTGGTTACACGAGGAGACATCTCCTGGTGGAGGAGGTGCCAGGCCTCTACATTAGGCGCCTGACGCTCGAGGATCCAAAAATCGCACGAGAGAAAGACCGCCTGGACTCAAGGTCACCGTCCCCAGTACGTCATATCTGTCATCGGCGCAGTGGCCAAGTTCGCCCTGGGCGAGGATCATCGAGGTAACCTGTCCAACACCAAAATGAAATTTAAAAATTTTAAAAGAAAATAAAGAAACAAAAAGAAACTAAAATATCCTACTAATATACAATTATTCAAGTAACGCCCACGACGCGGATTGCAAATCATAAATTACGACGCACGAATCTAGGTTCAAACGAATGCCGTTTCCCACGCCAAATGGATGTACCGTGAAATCCAATTTACTTTTTGATACTGATTATTACTAAGTTGTATATTATTCCTCAAATTCAAACTCAGTGACACCTTCTTATTGTCGGTCGTAAAAGAATTTCTCACTTTCCAAAAACATTACGAAAGTTATTTAAATTACGATTTTATATATTTTATTTTATTATACATTAAATTAGGTTTTATTTTAATGTGATTGTTTTTTTATCACACTGCCTACTTATATACTACTTCTGTATCTGATAAATCCGTTAACAAGTTAGACACATTTCCAATTACATGATGAAGGTTTTATGATTATAGAAATGGAGGATTTTAGATATGCAAAACTTTATTCAATATCTTTATTAGATTGTTTTCAATTTTAAATTAATAATCAATAATCGTTTTATGATGAGAATAAAGCTGGATGGGTTCCAAAGCAGATACAGAACTGGGTTTTTTTTTTACATATTTTCAGACATCTCTGGAGTGTTCTCCTTGAACTTGGGCTCGGTCTACAATTTGAAACTTCTTCTAATTAATTGATTGTAATTATTGAATTTTAATGATTTTTGTAAGAGTTGTTTTGTGTTCGAATGATGTAGTGGGTGGGTTCTGTTTTTATTCTAACGATATTACCATTTTTTTGAACGATCATAACTTTAGATACATGGATACTATTAGTTATCTGTTTTACTATAATGCTTACTCCATTAAGATTGTAGATTATCGTTTGTTAGGATGACCTATCGTTTATTTTACTACTCATCATTTTTATTTTTGTATTGTTGTGGGATACGTTAAAGTAAAATAGTTTCGCTTGCTAAATACTAAAGAAAAAGACACGAATAATTTTTTAAATATAAACGATAAAAAATTATTTAATTAAATTTTCTTTTTTTTTATTAATTAAATATTTATTTTTATTCGAAATAGGCTTGTTCTTCATGTGCGGCCCGTTAAAAATTTCAAAGAATTTTAAAACATAAAAATTTATATTTGCAATATTTTTATATAATCAGGTTCATCAATGAAATATTTTTTTTTACCTTATTGTATTGGTATGTTGATCACACCTTTTAGCTTTTAACAAGCGTCAGAACAATGGTGAAGTATATTTCCGAGACAAAGAACTTTGTACACAAATCAGAAGCCTCACTCCAGAAAAATACAGTAAATAAAGAGAGAAAAAAAGAAAACATAATAAGAAATTCAATAAATAATTCAACTTTAAAGGCTGCAATTAAATGTACTAAAGCTTGAGTGTCCGACAGGACAAATGATTGCTGCACGACTTAATAAAGACTCAGCATTGATCTATCACTTGCGCGGCAAATATTATCACGTTTATTAAAGCCTTGCATTAAAATATGAGCTTATTTATACGATAACTCGTGCATTGCACAGTATTATCTTAAACATTCCATCTCCATTGCTTATAAATACTTACCCTTATTTTATTCTCATTTTTTTCTTCCTCAAGTCTTCTTATGTTCCTTTGTTTTTTCTTAAAATACTTTGGCTTCACTATCATCCTTTTACCCCCAACTGGTATTGTATTTCAAAGCTGACCCTATCGAGAAAACGTGCAAGGTTACCAACTTTATTGCAATTCCACGACAACACGCGAAGATCGCTCTGGTTTCCCAAGAAACAAATCGATCGATATTACTTTTCCTTTACCATTTGTCTAAGCTTCTTTTTGTTTCTACTTACAACTCGTTTACTCTTTACATTGTCTGTGTATGTCGAGCAATAGCAGACAGATGTTTTTGAAATAATAGAAATCATTTTTATACAGTTGTTTTCTATTGATTACGATCAAGAATCCATCATAGACAAACTATTACGTAGGATTTCAATCTTCGATCTGGAATATTAAATAAGATTTTTTTTATTAAAAACATTGATCTATTTATTTATTTCAAATATTAAAAAAGTATAAATAGAATATTAATACCAATGTGCATTAAAAAATAGTGAATGAATTTTTTTTAATTTAAAAATTTCTTAAATTAAAAATATCGTTTTTTTTATACATTCTTTTTAATTATTTAGTTAATTGTTAAAAAACTATGAGAGATAAAGAAAAATAAAAATGAAAGCGATAATTAAGACATTGATCTTATCATTTTTCTCAATCTAATTTAAAAGAAAAAGTTGATTTTAAAACATGCTTGAGACATAAAAAATAGTTACAGATACTGGTTGGATCGTACGAACAAAGAAAAACCAGCCTACTTAACAATAACATCTTTGGAACTTCCCGAATCGCCAATTCCCCTCATTAATTCTCAAGCAAGTGCGAGGTTTCGTGCGACCGAGCCATCAAACATCAGCTTTGAGAAGAATGAAATATTGGACGAGTTGATCGAGAATATAGCTAATGTAGGAACAAATGTAGGAAGAAGAAAAGGTATCCGCAGTGCAGGTGCTAATGTCACGAAAACAATCGATCGATCAAGAAAGCAAAACACAGATAGAAAAGAATGCAATAGGGTATTCACATCTCTTCCAAATCAGTCAAGAACCACTGCTGAAGGTATCAATAATTTATTTTAATCTTGAATCTAATCATAATTAACTTCTATTATGAGATTAAATGAACATCACGAATTGCAAATTACACGTAGTCAAGTGCAGCTGCATGTCGTGTCGTACACAGAAATCTAACGTGCACGATGGATGTTTGATGCAGATGGTTTGAAACACAATTATCCAATCCTTCCCCCTATATCTGATTATCTTGTTTTCAAACAATAATTATTAGTAATCAAGTTAGAAATTCTAAACTAGTGTTTACCATGTTGTTTCATCAGTGGTTAATTTTTTAATATTTCTTCAGTGAAATAAATAATTGTATATTTGTGAAACTAAACTCTTCCCACGTTTTGAAATTCCAATTTTATGCTCAGAATTCCATTGCTTACAATTACAATAAATACAAAAACACTAAACAATCATTATTCTTAATATTTAAAAGTCTGAATTGTCGTTAATAAATTTTATTCAACAAATGTTAGAAAAAAACGAGCATGTAATTTTAGCTACAATTAAATTTAATATTGTATTTTTTTCTCTACTACCTCTGCTTTATTACAAACATCTCGAAACAGTTTTAATTATTTTTTTCTCAAACATACTTCACAAATTCATAGCTTGTATTAAATACGTACTCTCCTCTTGAACGAAAATTCATTGTTGAACAATTCCTTTCACCATAAATCTTTTTTTTCTGCTTTTCCCTAGCTGATATTTTTTGTAAATTTAAATATCATTCCACTGAAAAAGTAGTGGACTTTTTCAAGGCTGTGTATCGAATTACAGGATCTCCTCAGAGAATATTCACAAACCAAAGAAATGTAAAGGATTGTATCTGCTCGGAAATAGCAGAGAACTTACGCATCAACATTCAGGAGCAGACTGAGGTAAACCGATCGTCTCGAAGCCCTAGTCCGGAAGTGACTCATACGATAAGGATTGCAATGAAGTACTTGGGTCAGCCAGTAAATCGTAATAATGATGTCGAGAGTGCAAATAATAATGTTGATTTAGATAAAATGCAATCGAATATTCTAGAGAATAGACAGTTGACAGAGAAGGACCACGAATTCAAGGAGACTGGTTGCTGTTCTGGTGTTAATGTTGCCTTGGACTTTACTCTCAACTGCAACAGTTCTCAATTAACCTCTCGAGATATCAGTCTAAAACCAGTTACAAAAAATAGCGAAAGCATAGATTAATTCTGGTTGATTTAGTTTAAGGTTTAATGTTATGATGGTTATATTCATGTTGGATTGAACAATCTCTAGATGTTAAAATTGTTTTAAATATGTTGATCTTAAGTGTTATATGTAAATCAGAATTTTAATAATTTTTTTTTTAAATTAATCCTTATTCAAAATGCAGAATTAAATTAAATAAAAATCAATTCGTTCTGCTGCTAGCTCGTTCAAATTAAACTGTCATTACAATGTTTCAAAAGAAAATTAATTAGATAGACTGAATAGTAATATTTATTGATTAAATAATATTTAATGTTTAGTTTTATGAAAAGAATTTGTTGACAAGTAGATTTGTTATAATTAATGTTATTAATTTAAATTTCAAAAAATACTTGTTAAATGATAATGAGAAAAAAAAGTAAGTTTGATTGTTTTTAATGATAAAAAAATTTTTTTTACAAAAAACTTTCTTTAATTAAAATATGCAAAGTATTAAGATTATTCAAAAATAAAACTTTAGTGACAGGGAATAGTCTACGGCCACGTTAAACTCGAAAAGAAGCAGGCAGTAATTTCGTTATACTCAGCGGTCTATTAATTAGCTCAACTAATAAATCGCAAGAGAGTAGGATAGCTGAAGAAGAAATAAAATAAAATAGCCGTTTGGCTTTCGGAATAAAGAGAAATATTGGTCTACTTTTGTCATGGCAATAAAGTAGGATAGTCAGGCGTAGACTCATCGAGTCTCTACTTGACGAAAAAGATTTTTAGCCGGTTCTTCAACTATATTCAGCTCTCTTCTAGATCTTCTTCACTCCCTCACTCTCTGGTAGTGCTCTCCCGTTTGTTCAGCTCGTCCGAATTTTATTTTATTTCTTTTAGTCTGGTGTACACTGCTCTTGTGTCTTGTTGCTCGTTCCTCTAAGGGCGAAAATGGTTCATGGCCATTCCAACTGGCTATATTTTGATGTAGCTGCATCGCGAAATTTTTTCTGTTATCTATTCTTCGCTTCCCTTTTCTATTTTATTGTCAAGAAAAAAAAATTACTAAATTATTAGCTTCTAACTCTCTACGAATGAATTCAAAAACTTTATTTAAGTAACCTTTACATAAATATTTTTAAAATATTATTCAACAATCAAATTAAGTTAGTGCAGTCTGTATGAGTGAAACTTCACCTCAACATCTAGACAATGACATAAAAACCTTTCACTTTGTTTATTTACATGATATTGAACTTTTGAAATGTATATTAAACCTTATCCCCGACCTTGCTCACCAGACTACCATATATTTTTCAATTTTTTTTAATCTCACTTATCGTTTTTTCATGTCTCGATCGATTAACGCGTTTATACGATGACGGTGTGAAAAATGCGATAATGAAGTGTCCCGCGGACTGTTGAGATAATACCCAGGAACAAAGGAAGACTTGTATCAAAACGAAAGAGAGCGGTGCCGCCTAGCTTTGTAGGTATAAGATATGAGAGCTGGTCTACTCTCTTAGTCGTTTCAAAAATCGCGGCAAGACAAAAAATAAATGAGAAAAATCATGAGACTGATAAATCATTTCTGAAGGACACTCGACAGTTTTTTTTTCCTCCTCTTGATCGATTAAACGAAGCTGAAATGATTGATTATTGCACTCTTTATTCTCTCAAGATGATGAGAATGTTTTATGTATACACATAACTACATCATGAAGAAAGGAGACTTGTCGGCGACTGTACTTGAGGGTGGATGACATCATCTGATTCTCGCGCACATGTTTCTTTTAGTGGCGACGTGAATTTCTGGGAATAATTTGATTATGCGGTGGGAGCCACGCGCGGAATTTACAGGACTCGCTTGTTAGACGCTCCCTGATTCTTCTCTCTACAGCAAGGCCAAGACTATGCTCTCGTAGTGTTTAGTATTCTTTTTTCGACCACTCGAACCAGATATATCGGACCGGATTTAACCACTGAAAATAGATATTGAACAAATGAATGGGTCCCAACGCGAATATTTGCCCAATAAAGATGGAATAAAACAATGGAGCCAAAGACTCCCAGAGAACTTGAAGAATTTCAGGGGCGTAGTTGATAAAAAACTAGACGAGATTAAAGAAGCTGAACCAATTAGCTATTTTGACGTTTCGCCAAGACTGCAATTGAATGCCAATGATGATTGGACTTTTTTAATTTCAATCTTTTTCATAAAATATGTATAATTCATAACCTTATATCCACGATATTAAATCTCGCTGAACTTTTTTTTTAATTAATCATAATAAATTAACCAGTTAAATTAATTGGAATTGCATTCGAAAATTTGCCTGGCAAAAAAAGTAAACAAATTTCATATAGAGAACGTGCCAAATCCCTTATAGTATCCTTGACTCGTCGAGGTATAATTTCTTGGCGATTAATTTCTCCAGGATATCGTCCACTTGATGAGAATATAATCTTGCTTGTGCGTGGTCTCACTCATTCAACCTAACTAATGCCTTGCTGAGCACCTTTTGCTCGTTCATTTCTCATCATCCCCCATAACTTTGTTTCCCCCCCTAGGATGTTCTCCCTTCCAATTACACTCGTCCTGACATTATAAGATTATTAGAAATCGATTTAGATATAGAAGTGTTCACATTCATTGAGTCCTAGCCAGTTATAATAACTTATCTCCTTTTTTCTTGTCTACTCTACTAGACCATCTTGTTGACTTGAAAGAACTTCATTTTGCTTTTCATTCATGACAGATGTTAAAAATGAGTCTTTCTTTCATCAGAAACCGCATTCCCATTCCGGAAGCCTTTTGCCATTCTTCAAATTTAAATGAACACTTGCCGATCATTTTTTTTATATTCATAATTAATTATCTATTTTGCCAATTGAAAGGATGAATGTTCATTTTTTTAAATATTTTTCGATTTATTTGCATATGAAGGCGGTGTATCCTTTTCATTGATAATATAAATTACATCAATTGACATACAATTATAATCGACGACGATGATCAAACTGACAATAGGACGGGCCACACAGGAAGGCTTCTATCACAGTTGATTTAGCCTCATTAGAATTGTTATTAATAATTTGACTAATTGCCGTTTGGGGAATTATAATTGTGTGCGTCTGGGAATGATGAATGTCTGGGGCACTCATAATCTTCTTACATTAATAATTACGTTCTTTGTAATATTTTTTTTTACATTTCCGGGTATTTAAAGGTCAAAGTGAAGGTCTTAGTATCTTTGACGACCTTCATAATAATTTAAGTATGAAAATCACTGTCATTTCTTTGATAAAAAACTTTAATTGATAATTTTAATCAAACATATTAGGGTAACATAACATAATCAAGAAATTTTTTTTTATTTTTGAAAAATAATTTTGATTTCTATAAATGTTACTTAATTTTTTATCAATAATGATTTTATAAAAAAAAAAAACAAAATATTTTTAAGGATTAACGAGTTTTTTGACATTGTTTTTAATTATTTATTAAAAATAATCTCTTTAATTATAGAATGATTTTTATTGCGTTCTATGAGTTGTATTCTTCCTAATTCTCCAGCCTTTATTTTTCAAAACTCACCGAGAAGAAAAGTCTACAAGCACATCTTGCTCATTTATGCATTAAAAGCATCCAGCAAAGTGGCAATAAATTAACGAAAAATAATAGTGAAACATGGTCAATAAAAAAGTGCTTCGATAACTCGTTTGTAGTTAGTTAACACGAGACTTAACTGACGCCTACGATTGACCATCACTAGACGATCCGTTGGAATGCAGTTTTCGGTGTTGCATTGGATGGGAACGTGTGGCGAGAGCCGGATGGGCTGGACTCGCTTGCGATTCTACACTGATAAGCTTCGAACGTTGTTTCTTCTGTTCCAGCTCAACACTTTTAACTCCCTAGAATTAAATCCAAACTTGAGAATCGACCAAGTTCTTGTAAACAAAGAAAAAAAGGTCAAAGAGTAAATTAATGTTGAATAAAATTCTCACTAAGAAGGCATTAAATAGCAATTTTACGTACAAAAGAATTTTATTCTTGCTATTTACAGATAAGAGGAAAGAAAATGGAGAAAAAAAGAAGTCGAATTGATGATAAAATTAAATTCGTCCCCCAGTTAACTATTTAAAGATTGCAATCACATTATTGTAATGAGTTTTCGCGTGTGTGAAATTGACTGTAAGTTAAGTTGATGATTATTACGACATATGTGGTTGTATATAGCGGCTGATTATATCTACATCGGAAACAAGTAAGGACAATTTTGTGATGCTCATTAAATTACTTACTGTTAATGAGTGAATCATACGTTCTTTACTTCTCATTTAAGTCGGAAAGCTCATTCTATTTCATCAGTATTTACTAGTTTACTTACTCTAGTTAAATAACAATAACACAAATTAATTATCTTTTCTCCTTATCACGTATTTGCCTTAGAAACACCAAAAAAGAGATATTTATCTCAAATTTAAATATCAATTTAATGAATACTTGTGTGGAATACAAATGAACTATTGGCATTTTGAAGATAAATCATTTTAATTCAAATAATATTTTACCAGAAGAAATAATCATTTCATTTTTGGAATTCAAAGTAAAGTTTATTTTTTAATCTCCAATGTTTCCTAATGTAATAAAATAAGCTGGTATACTCGAGTTATGAAAATAGTTCTCTTCTTTGCTCTCTAATAGAACAACAGAATTTAGAATGCATATTCAACAGATATTAATATTCTATACACACTAATAAAAAAATGTAATGAACAAAGCTAATGAAATTTAAAGTGCATTTAATTTTACTCTTTATAGTGGATAAAAGTTAAATTAAAATCTATTCAGTTTTTAATTAACTTTTTCTGCATATGATACAAATTAAAAGAGTAAGTTGGTTTTTTTCTTGCCAATTAAAGTTTTAATGTAAAAGCTGATTGTTTTAGTGAAAAAAAAGTGTAATAATAATTTGTCATTCTTGTGAATGAATTATGATTAGAAAATTTGGTAAAACAATATTTACCCGATCAAATTTGACCTGATCACCC